ATTATTATTATTATTATTATTATTATTATTATTATTATGGTTTCCAAAAGGAAGAATGTGACAGCAGACCCCAGGACAATTCCTCAGTTTATGGCAGCTTAACCACAAAAAGAGTGGTGGGGGTAGAGGGTGATTAAAAGGGAAGGTACAGCGAAGAAGACTAACCCCACAGCGGTAAGCAGTCTGGGCCAGGATGGCGCATTCAGCTTGGGTGAGGACGGCTTTCCATGCTCCAGAGGACCCTGCGATGAATCAGCACATGAACATTTGGGGTTTCCTGTTTCTACAACAGAATAGCACGTTTGTCCAGACTGCCTTCATGGCTGACAGTTTGATCCCTCCAGGACTGTCGTCATTCCTAGGATGGCACCATCCCTAGTGGAGTGTCTAGACAGCTCCGTATTGCTGCTGTCACTGGCCAGAGCTGTGCATGTCTACCATGTGTGGGACAGTCCCAAACCATGGAGGAGTCTCTCCTAGCCTCTTTATCGCCTGAAAGTCCTATTGAATATCCTATTGCAAATAGAAATTTTTAGTGAAAACTTTGAAAAGTGAAGTGGGGATGTAGCTTAGTAGAGGAGCACTTGCCTAGCACAAGCAAGGCCCTGGGTTTGAACCATTGCACCAAAAATAAAATACAGATACATAAAGAAAAGAAAAATGTTAAGTTTCAAAAAGCTTTTATAAGGCTATATTTATGCAAACTGGTTTACAGAGAGGGCAGCTTAAACAGAATCCATTTTATTAAAATTAGCAAAACTTATTTAGTTTATGCAACCTGTCGATTGGGGATACTGTATGTTTTCCAATTATACATTCCACTGAAATAATTTCAGTGCAATTGTGCAGGTACTACAAAACCCACACAATTGTTGTAAATATGTATAGAAAAGTAAAATTCTTCTAAACAAAGCTGTTATGAAATAGTGTACATCAATGAAAAGATATGTTATTGCCTTCTATATACTTTAAGTCATTTTGCAACATGGTAAGAGATCTATTTAGTGAAAAGTACATATTTAAATTATTTAGGGGTACTTTTCTATCTTGCATTGACATTGTCTCCTGAATTTCCCTGCACACTTTTTATAGACTATTATATGTATTACTATTTCTTTTTCCAATCTAACCCCTCTTGTCCATTGCTTATACAAGTGGTATGGTCTCTAAAGTCTTTTGAAGTTTGAGACCTACTTGCATTGATTGTAGTGAGATATTAATGTATGTTT